CCCCCCATGCCTACACCACTGAGCACAAACACACGTGAAGTAGATCGTTGTTATAAAATGCTTGTCGAAATTGAGTAGAACTGATAGTCAACTTGGTCTGATTGTCAACTTGGTCTGATAGCATTAGGATTTTTAAATTATTTTTATTGACCAATTTTCTAATCGTGCAGCAGATTGTGTAGTGGTTTGTATATTGTCTAATATACATTTAATGTATACCTGATTATATCGGTTTATCGGGCAGATGAGGCTCGTTAGCTGGGGACAGCCACTCTTCTAGGAGAGACAACTCCAAAATTAAACAACTGCTGCCTTGTAGTTTGCTCTTGGTTGGACAAAGGTTATGGAAGCAAATCCAAAAAGAAAAGCAGGCTGAAATCGGAGTCAATGGCCTCAAAGGCGCATAACCAGTTGACACGTAACGCTTAACGGGGCCGTTTTGACGGGGCCGATTTGTCCCGGGCCGTTTTGACAGGGCACCATATATATATATATATATATATATATATATATATATATATATATATATATATATATATATATATATATATATATATATATAATACAGTGAACGATAAATTTGACGACTTATAAATGACACGTTAGCTTTTATGTGTATGTAGTTGCCGTATGAAATTAATGGAATACAGTAAACGATAAATATTTGTCAACTTGCAAAAATATTTTGTATTGTAAAATTACTTTTTTTTTAAAAAAAAAAGATAATAAAACCGAAGTGAGCTCCCCTAAATTCTGTCGATATTTGTACATTAATTATATCAATAAGGGTTGAGATGTCGTTTTCATATAATGAATTAAAATAAAACAGCTGATACCCTTCAATTTGTCTAAGGGAAAATAAACGTCATTATGTCCCTTGGAATCATGGATAGAAAACAAATAAACATGTTTCCGACTTATGTTTTATATTTGGCTAAATCAGTTCATGTTTTCTTTTCTTAATTCTTAATTCTAGATCATTTGGAAGCTTATTATCAAGCAGATTTTTATACTTTTTTTTATTGAAATAACAATATTTGCTTCGCTGCCCTCTTTTTCAGATTGTTCAAGAACGGCAATCGGTGTAGATTTTATTTTTAAGCTGTTTATCCACAGTTCTCTCCCTTACAAAATATTTTCAAAATATTCAAACTTTACCAACATATGTAAGCTACCACCGTCAACTAAGAACTAACACAAATTTTAACGCGTCCGTGCAAAAGAAAAATTAATGGAAACTAGATTGTAAGAAAAATTCCCGGTGTAAAATAATCTCTAGCGGACGATAGAAAAATTAATGCCAACTGGATTGTAAGAACTATTCCAGTTTTAAAATCTCTACCTGGCAATAGAAAAATTAATGGCAACTGGATTGTAAGAACTATTGTAGGGTGACACCCGACCTATATATATATATATATATATATATATATATATATATATATATATATATATATATATATATATATATATATATATATATATATATATATACATATATATATATATACATACATACATATATATATATATATATATATATATATATATATATATATATATATATATATATATATAAATGCCTACATATTGACGACAATACAGTTGTAATAATTTGATACAAAAAAATTCCTGTGTTTTTCAAAAAGTTTCTTTATTTCACTGAGTACTTATAGCGCATTCATTTGTTGCATATATGTATCTCAAGCTCTAAAAGGTCTTTCCTGACACCCTCTTTATATGGTCTCGCTGTCCATGTTGGTAGCATCGTTTCCTGACACGGCAGGCGTCGCCACTAGCATGGGTCGTCGTAGCACTCGACGATGCCGTCGTTACACTGGCACCGGTCGCAGCGGTCAGGTGTCAGGGAGCCATCTGGGTAGACCACGCCGTTGACGTAACATGGGCTATCTGCAGGAAGCAAAGGAAAGATGAACATCACACTATTGTTGTAGTAGTGCGTTTATGGTTAGCGTTGAAATGACATCGCATGTATTTTAAAAAAAGTAAAAGTAAAGTTCCCTTTTTAAAATCGACGGTCTAAAGGGAAAGTGAAGTAGAGTTCACTTGTTTCTGTGACCTCGGCATATGAAGAGATAGTGTGGTCAGCATTATGCCCAGACGCCTTTACTTTCCCTAACGTGAGTTAGGTACCCATCAGAGTTGGGTGGACTCAGGGACGGTCTACTGACTGGAACCCGAATTCGAACTCGAGACCTACGGGTAAGCAGACCCTTCATGTATTTTTATAACAATCTAAATAGGACGATTAAGATTAATGTGTTGGCGCTTAACTTTTCGGAAAAATGCCTGAAAGAAACACTGTCAACACCTTACACCTTAACTCCGCCACTGATTCTATCTAATGAGGCCAATATTTGTTATTAAGACAGGCAATTGTAGTGGATTTTAATGTTTCCTAAAATTAAACCTTTTATCTAGAAAAGACCTTAAGTAAAAATTCCTTTGTTCATGAATATTTTGAAATATAAAAAGAAACCAGTGCGTTGATAAAAAATGAAATCAAAGAGAAAAGAATCGAAAAAAATAACAAAAAATGTTATACAAACCTCCGCACTCCACTATTACCGGAGCAGCTAACACAAGGCACAAAATGACAAACACAATGACCTTCATTCTCCTGCACTGGTCGCGGATTAAAGTGAGCACCGTGTGACTCACGCGACGCGGATCTCGTGCGTTATATCACACGTGACTATTTATCTTGGTACCATCTGGTGCCGCCCGCTGACAGTCCAACCGTCAGAGCAGGGGCGGCGCTTTAAACACTCGGCTTCAAAATACGAACTCAAAACTCTCAGCTGCACAATACAAACTCAAAACTCTCGGCTTCACAATACGAACTCAAAACTCTCGGCTTCACAATACGAACTCAAAACTCTCGGCTTCACAATACAAACTCAAAACTCTCGGCTTCACAATACGAACTTAAAACTCTCGGCTTCACAATACGAACTCAAAACTCACGGCTTCACAATACAAACTCAAAACTCTCGGCTTCACAATACGAACTTAAAACTCTCGGCTTCACAATACAAACTCAAAACTCACGGCTTCACAATACGAACTCAAAACTCTCGGCTTCACAATACAAACTCATAACTCTCGGCTTCACAATACGAACTCAAAACTCTCGGCTTCACAATACGAACTCAAAACTCTCTGCTTCACAATACGAACTCAAAACTCACGGCTTCACAATACGAACTCAAAACTCTCGGCTTTACAATACGAACTCAAAACTCTCGGCTTCACAATACGAACTCAAAACTCGCGGCTTCACAATACAAACTCGCTTTAAAGACTGTGATCTCGAGATACGAACGAACTCAATTTCAAAGTTTCAGGTTACGAACATTTTTTTCCAAAGAGCGCAACCGCTATTCTTAAGAAAGAGTCGCGTTTCGAAAAAAATTGGAAACTTTGTTGGGCATTTGATTCGAATTACGAACAAAGAAGGTTTACCAATGCTTCGGATTACGAACGTTTTGTAATATAAATGAATGTTCGATCAAATCAAGAAACTCCGGATACGAATTTGTCTCACAGTTGGGAAAATATGTTTTGATATAATTGTCCTGGTAGTTAAGCTAATTAATTATATTGCTAATTAGCAAAATTTATATGATTTTACTCACAGTGCTCAGAAACATTGAATTGAGTTATTATCATATCGAAAACATTTCTAACGGACGAGCGGTCAGATCTAGAGATGAACTAACAAAGTCGGACTTAAAGAAATTCATACAGTCATTCTGTACGAAAATTGAAAACAAATTAAATTATTCAAAAACAAGAGATGGTTTTTGAAATATATTCTTTTGAAAAAATTTTCGCGGGCCGACACACCCTTTAACACCGACAAGCAACGCCTCTGTTGAAGCTTTATGACGTATTGTTAACTTCCTCTTTTTGTGGCAGAAGGAAAACGAATTATATATAAGTGATTTATAATTGTATGTCCTGTAACTGTTATAGTTTTCAGTTTATTTTTTATTTCGCTGGTTAAACTATTGGCTATGGGAGTTCATTGATAAGAGTTGAAAGGAATTTTGCATTACTGTTACATATTCACGTAGATAAGGTTTAGAGTTCAACTTTAATTTGAGTACCGATTTAAAATAAAATCAGCAATAGAACTTAACACTTGACCTCACCTTATATATAGGTTACATGAGGGTGTAATTAAGGGTTACTTAAGAACGTGGCTTTAATTAAATTTTAGCAGCTAAATGTGAGTGGTCGAGTCTTTATAACCGTGTTAATTACTTGTCAACATGTTCATCTGAGTCACAGTAAACAATCAGATGAAAATTTAGAGTGTTAACATCTCATGATATATATATATATATATATATATATATATATATATATATATATATATATATATATATATATATATGGCTAGATAGAGATAGATATAGGTATAGATATATGTATATATATAAATCTGTACATATATTTTGTTTTCGGATCATGATTAAAGCTTTGTGGCAAAACCCAGCTCTCTCATTAAAATAGAATTCCTATACATTACACATAATGAACGGGTGTTGTTCTCTAGGGGTATGTCTGCTTTAGACCACCTCAGATATTATCCTAACACCACACACCGCAAATTACATCCTTAACTGCATGCTAACAGATATCAAGATAACGTGTTTGCTAACACTCCCAACTTAATGCTACGTTTCAACTCGAAATACAGCATGCATAATAAGCAAGATATATGACCTTGCTCCAAGATATGTCGCTTATTCCCACGGTTCCTAAGCACAAATAAAACTTTAAAATTTTAATTTAGGACTCGAATATACATACTTTATCATAGTGTTGTTTTGGGACAATGCACTGTTGTGCGTTGCTATTGTTATTATACTGTAAACAGTTATGGGTAGTTATTATGTTATTATAATGCTGGAGGCTTTAGAGCGGGTATAAAACGTGTAGTGGCCTTTGGCAAAATTAGGCTCCAACATACTACGGGCTGTGACAACATACTAGGTTTATGTGGGCTGGTAACTCCACACATATAAATATGAACGTTTTTCACTCTTGTGTGATTCTAGCACTCCTTGCACTGTGTGCTTCGGCGCCTTATAAATGTAAGACATTTAGAATTTAAATCTGTTTAAATCTACCACAGAATTTACTTAAGATAGAGCTGTAGCTACCTTGTATAGGTGAAGTAGAATCTAGAACTTGCGTATGCGACGGTTTTAAATAACTAGAAATATTCTAAGTTCAATAATTATATTTATAGTATATTCAACTTCCTTCAATATCGAAGAGTTATTATACTGTTCAAAGCAAAACTCCTGAAAATGTGTGTATTATAGTCATAACCAATTAATATACATTTAAGTGTTTCATATATTTTGGTATATGTGTTTCATAACTTTCCATTACAAAGGCTAAAACGTATTGTTTTTTTTGTTCACAGCGAATCAACAGGATTGTCTGTTTGGGGATATTTTGGTAAAAGATGGGTCGTTGACCTTTGACGAGTGCGACAGGTGTCGCTGTATGGCCGGGAAAGATGTCTGCGAAGATAGACCTTGCAACAAAGGTGAGTAGCCGCGTATATTTCATTGCCGTGTGGTCAGCTCTTTTTTACTTCTTCTTCTTCATTCATTGTATTGTTAGAGGTTATTCCTCCAACACAGTTAAGTATTACGTGTTCACATGTTATGCACCACATAGTGCGTTGAGTCAAATTACAGCCTGCTTTTCTCTCTGGGTTAGGTTTTAAAGCTTTTGTCCAACCAAGAAAAGGCAGCAGTTGTTTGATGTTGGTTTCTCTCATAGGCGGGTTGTTGTCCCCAGCAACATAACCCCTGATCAATCTTAATATGTGTATGCACTTATAACTACCTCCTATCCCTGGTAGCACGTCCACCGTCGTCGTCGTTCCTCCTCCCCCTCCCCTCCCCCAGAAGAAATAGAATTTTTTAAAATACATGAAGTATAAATATCTTCAATATCCGCCTCTCCCCCTGTGGTAGAACACTGATGTCAGTGCCACTGTTGCTACTTATTTGTTAGTTAGCCGCATTGTTATTACTGTTATTATTATTATTATTATTATTATTATTATTATTATTATTATTATTATTATTATTATCATTATTATTATTATTATTATTATTATTATTATCATTATTATTATTATTATTATTATTATTATTATTATTATTATTATTATTATTATTATTATTATTATTATTATTATTAATGAGCAGCTATTTAGTTGTTTTATTTTCTACTTTTCAGTAATTCATAGTTTGTGAATTCGACACTATCCCCCCCCCCCCCCCCCGTGAAAGTAGTCGCCTTTGACAACAGTCTACATACGACAATGAAAATATCAAGCAGAACTTCTTACCTCTCATTAGTTTCAAATATTTTAAAAGCTAAATTATCTGCCCCTAATAGCCGTCACATTGTAAACATTCGGGGTGAACCACAGCTCACCAGACTGGTGTGGGTGGCAGCAGTGGCGTAGCGAGGTCGGGTGTCACCCGGTGCGGCACTTAATGGTGTCACCACCCAGAGGCGTAGCGACCCTTCCCAGGGACTAACTTTCAATTTCCGATTTGAACTCCCCCCCCCCTCAAACTTTCGATTTGCACCTCTTAAAAGACTATTTAACACTCGAATTAATCACTTAATTAAGTGGAATTATAATTTTTCTCAATATATTTTGCTATTTCTTGCCTTGGTGTCAGCGATCCGCCCCCCGCCCCCCCCCCCCCCTCGCTACGCCTCTGGGTGGCAGCGATGTACCAAGAGAGCGGGGTAGGAACGGTTAAGCCCTTACGTGGTGGTGTCTCGCGTGGTCCCCACGTAGAGAATTATATATATAGATGAGTAACTTTTGATAGCATTTATTTCCTTCCGTGCAATTATTCCAACTCTTTAAAAAAATAATTTTAATATACAAATGTAAAAATAATACATTAATTAAGAAAATGCAACACAAAGGTAATGTGAGGGGGGATAATTAATGGAATTTTCCCCGGTTGTGATGGTGGGAAAAACAGCAACCACCACCAAATGTGAGAGTGGGGGTGATAAAGATGATGAAAAGATCCACACACACAGTTCAAGTCAAAATATAATGTTCTTTATTAAATTTGTACTTCGTACGTACTAATCTGTACACTGTACTACTACCACTTCTATCTATGTGTTCCTTAGCTCTACATATATCCGACCGTCTCTACCTAACTCTGACCGTTCTCTTTGCTAGCTAACTATCAACTGCCTGGACTCAGTGGCGTAGCGAGGTCGGGTGTCACCCGGTGCGGCACTTAATGGTGTCACCCCCCCCAGAGGCATAGAGACCCTTCCCAGGGACAAACTTTCAAATTTTGGATTTGCACCCCCCCCCCCCCCCTCAAACTTTCGATTTGCATCCCCCCTCGAGTTTTCGATTTGCACCCCCCTCCCCCCTTCAAACTTTCGATTTGCACCCCCCTCAAGTTTTCGATTTGCACCCCCCCTCAAACTTTCGATTTGCACCCCCCCCCTCGAGTTTTTCTCTATATATTTTGCTATTTTTTGCCTTGGTGTCACCCCCCTAAATGGTGTCACCGGTGCGGTCCGCTCCCCCCGCCCCCCCCCCCTCGCTACGCCCCTGCCTGGACTAACTACTGACCCACGCTTCAGTGGTCATCTGACCGTCTCACGTGACCGGTCAGCTCCTGTACTTTCATTGGTCTCTCTAACCACGTGCAAACACGTGACCTAAATCACGTGATACCTACGCCCGCCGCCACAGTGGTGTACATCAGACGTAAACACAATCAGCTGTTCGCCAGCGCTGGACGTGTTCACCAGCGCTGGACGTGTTCACCGTATGTAAAGAATCGCGCCCGCGGAAAAAGAAAAAAATGTTATAAAACTTGAACTCTTAGGAATTGAAGATCCTTATACAGTTATTGACAGTTTCGTGGATAATATAAATATGTGGCCGAAATTTCTAAATAAAAATACTGTTAGTAATACCGTTTGCGTTTAGAGTTTAAGTAGACGAAGCTGATCAAATGCAGTAATATATTAGAGGTTATCTACTGTAGCAAACGTGAGACCACTTAACTCCTACAAAACCCACACTACAACGGCTAATATAATCCATGGGTAATAACCAATCTGGGTAGCATGTTATACAATTTAAGACCCTTATAATCCAGCAGGGAAGTAATCAGACACATTAATACTGACGTTCAACCCTCATGATGGCTGCCCCCACCTGTATCTAGCCCACAATAAAACCAAAGAGGAGTCTGCCCTGCCCTCCCCTGAAAATGTCTGACCTCCGTGATACCCAGCCCCACAGAGACAGTATTTCTGATATAATTTTGACCCTCAGGGCCCAGCAGGGAGAACAAAGGGGAAAGTCCCACTGCTCTCCCCTCAACACTTCTCACCTCGGTGTCATGTTATGTCATTTATAGCACACACGGCTTATCAGGGGAAAGCATTAAGGCATTAAGAATCTTAACTCTGGACAGCTACACACTAGTATACTAGCTACACACTAGGTGCCTACTGTAAACTACTAGACTGTAGGCCCTATGTAGACCTGCAATTGTATCAATTGTAGACTGGGTCCATTGTTATTATTCTAAACCATCTCACTTATAATGTTTCTAGCTTGATTTGTTTCTTTTATAAACAGTGGATTTAAAAAAAAAAATTAGCCTAATCATTAACCAAATAATAATAATGTGGTTATTTGTTGTTGGCTGGTATGATCTAGATTGTACTACTAGGCTACAAAAACTTAGTAGACCAATTACTAGATATGAAATTGAATTTAATTAAACTCAGTCCAGTATCAGATACATATTGCTGTAAAAAGACAACAAAGTAGGTAGGCCTTAGTAATTTATTAAAGCCTTCTACTACAATAATATCAACTACATGCTTGTATAAAGTTTTTACAATTTAATTTAAGTAGCAGATTCTAGATCTAAGTCTAGTCATATAATCTATTTCAATTTCAGAAAATTTCGTTTGCTAAAAAAATGATTAGATAATAGAGCGAGATTTTAGATCTTAGAGACAATTAAATGCTTTATTAGGCCTATTATGACTACTTTTGATTTATTATGGGTGTATTTTGAATCGAATGTAGATCTAAAGTAATTAAATTTAAGTAAAGAAGTAGATTCTAGATTCTATGTCTAACCAGCGGAGCCAGGTATTAGGCCTACTATTAGATCTTATTATTCTTATTAGCCTATTACTTTTGACTTTGTCTTTTACTATTAGTATTTGTGAAGGTCGAGCATATTTGTTTTATTAATAGTTATCTTTTATAATTAAAATGAAGTTTATTATTTTACTGTCCTTACATGAAACAAAGTATCGAGAACTGCATTTGATCAGATTCGGCTACTTTAACTCTAAACGCAAACAGTATTACTAACAGTATTTTTATTTAGAAATTTTGTCCACATATTTATTTATACGAAACTGTCAATAACAGCATAAGGATCTTCAATTCCTAAGAGTTCAAGTTTTTTAACGTATTTTTCCTTTTCCGCGGGTGCGGTTCTTTACATACAGCGAACGCGTCCAGCGCTGGTGAACACGTCCAGCGCTGGCGAACAGCTGATTGTGTTTACGTCTTGTGTACACCACTGTGGCGGCGGGCGTAGGTATCACGAACGGACGTGACGTCATATGAAAGGACTCTATAGTCTGTTTCTGCTAACCTCTATTTACTTGACCTATCCTTGACGTATTTTTGCGTCATCACAGGTAATGACATGTGAAATTTTAATGCAATTGTGTAGAATCAGCAAACTGCATTAAGGATGGCAAGAGGTACGTTAGTGGGCAGCCTATCCCAAGTATCTGTAACAACTGTGAGTGTAAGGACGGTGTGGAGGTCTGTAGTGATATCTGCCAAAACAAACCGGACACTGATTTTAAAGGTAACCTTTTATTGAACTCCTGGGGTTCGTTGCTTATTGGTGTTTTGTCGTTGTTTGTTTGTTGTTTACTGTTTGTTGTTTACATTTTTGTCGTTTAGTGTTTGTCGTTTAATGTTTGTATTTTAATGTTTCTTGTTTGTTTTATTTCTAAACCTTCAGCGTTTTTGTTTTTAGCTCGAATGTAAAAAAATATATATAAGACTGGCTACTTACAGGTAAGTTAAGTCCGAAATTAAAATACAGGTATTTTCATGGGTCGTCAACTTAATGAAATCATTGGACGTGCTTTGCGTACGTTTAAGGAGGAATGTCATTATATCAAACTTTATCGTTGACATAAGAATGTGACAAAAGGCCGACAAGGACAAAAGGCCGACATGGACAAAAGGCCGACATGGACAAAAGGCCAATGTGGACTAAAGGCCGATATTCCAGAAGACCAACTGGCCCGACGGGTATGTAAATGGCACAACAAGTAGTGCCTGCAATGGATGTGAAATTTTCATGCAGATAAAACTGATAAAAAGGGACGAAACCTTCCAAATAAAAACGTGAAAATCAGCTAAAATGAGAAGAAGAAAAAATTATAAAAAAAAAACGAAAATAAAACTTATAAACATATTTTAAAACCAGTCATTTATATAGAAGACCATGTAGTTATTTGTGTCATCTGGTTTTCAGTAACATAACGGATAACCCTAATTCATCTCCCTTTGATGAACACTAGAGTTATCTCCCCGTTTAAACCACTGGAGACGTTAGCAAAATAAACGACAGCCACGAACGGTAACTGTGACATTTTTTCATGCAGGTAGAGCAAGTTGTCTGATCAACGGCACTCTCTACAAGAACCGTCAAAAAACTCCTGACGACTGTGGTAGATGCCGTTGTTTGAACGGGAGAGTCGCATGCGCCTATATGATATGTCCATCTATCTTAGATCCATCGCCAGGTAAGTGTTTAGAGTTTCAGTTACGATATATATATATATACTAGCCGTTCCGGCCAGGCCCTGCTCTGGCTTCTGTGAAAAACCTTTCTGTTAAAGACCATTACCTGTGTGTTTAGTAATCATCATAAACCCGGCATTGCCCACCCAAACCACAACCAACCAAAACAACGAAACGCAAACATAACGCTAAAACAATTACAAATACGAACGAAAACAAAAACCTAACAACAAACCCAACCACAATCACAAACACCAATACAAACACAAAGAAAAAACAAACAAAAAAGCAAACGAAAACAAAAACCTAACAACAGACCCAACCACAACCACAAACACCAATACGAACACAAAGAAAAAAACAAACGAAAAAGCAAACGAAAACAAACCAAATCCAAACGCAAAACCAACCACACTTATTCGTAAAATACCTACAACATTTGCACTTGATCAATCCCCGCTAATTATGTAATTATTTTTTTCCCAACACCAAAACAAAGTAATTAAAAGTAAATTCTTTTCCACTAATGCAATGTTTTATAAAGGGAAGTAATTGTGTTTTCCTAATGTATCAAAGGGAAGTAAATGCTGAAGGACTAAATATAAATAATTTTCAGATATAATTAGAATTTTTATTATTTTTTAAAATTATGTTTAATGAACATGCCCACAATTATTACTATCAGTTTGAAAACTGAAAATTATTTCCCAACACTTTCAATAGTAATTTTTTAACTCATAAATTTAGACTATGAGCGCCATTTGTTTTTTCTATATATACGCATTTATACGGTTAATTAAAAATAAAAGTCGATTGCGGTTTGACACCGTACATAAGATTGTTGTCTTCAAATAGAGGTAAATGTGTTTACTGTTGCCTTCAAAGACAGGTAAATGTGTTTACTGTTGCCTGCCAAGAGAGTTAGATGTATTAATTGTTACCTTTAGAGACAGATAAATGTGTTTACGGTTGCCTTAAAAAGGTTAAGAGGTTTACTGTTGAAATTTTGGCTAATCATTAGGGATTAAAGCTAATTCGTCGTAACTGCTTTTTATGAGTATGTATTTGTGTAGGATTAACGGATTTGATGAACGATCAATTTGACGTCTTGCAGAAGAAACAAGTTGTCTTGTTAATGGCACTCGCTACGCTCATGGGGACCTAACGCCTGATGCGTGTGGTAGATGCATCTGTGAAGGTGGGCTAGTAGTGTGCAACAGGATGGGCTGTTTTGTTATGGAACAGACAGGTAACTTTGTCAACTTACACCAACAGTATGTAAATGCGTTGAATGAAAGACAGATAAATTCGTTAAATGAATGAGAGACAGGTAAATTTGTTTAATGACTTAAAAGACATGTAAATTCTTTATCTGACTTGAAAGACTGGTAAATTCGTAAAATGACTTAAAGACATTTGTTTAATTACTTAAAGACAGGTAAATTCGTTAACCGACTGGAAAGACAGGTTATTTCGTAAAATCACTGAAAAGACAGGATCATTATAAGGAATAAGGATTAAATTATAAATATAAAGTTTAGCCTTAATACGTTAGTTTTTGTACAATTAATTCATCACGATAGTTATGAGAGAGTTAACCTAGCTGAGCCCTTATACAGTGTGCATTAAAATGTAGTTAATCTGTCTTAACTGTTTTTGCGTGTATGTGGTAGTGGTCAAATTAAATTACCAGAATACAGTGAAGGACAAACATGACGTCTTGCAGTTGGCAGTTATTTTATAAATGACATGTTAACTTTTACCTGTTTTAGCTGCTTTATGCATGTATGTAGTGACCGTATCAAATTAACCAGAATACAATGAACGGTAAATTTGACGACTTATAAACGACAGGTTAGCTTTTATGTGTGTATGTAGCGGCCGTATCAAATGACCAGAATACAATGAACGGTAAATTTGACGACTTGTAAATGACACGTTAGCTTTTATGTGTGTATGTAGTGACCCTATTAAATGACCAGAATACAATGAACGGTAAATTTGACGACTTATAAATGACACGTTAGCTTTTATGTGTGTATGTAGCGGCCGTATTAAATGACCAGAATACAATGAACGGTAAATTTGACGACTTGTAAATAACACGTTAGCTTTTATGTGTGTATGTAGCGGCCGTATCAAATGACCAGAATACAATGAACGGTAAATTTGACGACTTGTAAATGACACGTTAGCTTTTATGTGTGTATGTAGCGGCCGTATTAAATGACCAGAATACAATGAACGGTAAATTTGACGACTTATAAATGACACGTTAGCTTTTATGTGTGTATGTAGCGGCCGTATCAAATGACCAGAATACAATGAACGCTAAATTTGACGACTTATAAATGACACGTTAGCTTTTATGTGTGTATGTAGCGGCCGTATCAAATTAACCAGAATACAATGAACGGTAAATTTGACGACTTATAAATGACACGTTAGCTTTTATGTGTGTATGTAGCGGCCGTATCAAATAACCAGAATACAATGAACGATACACATGATCTCTTTCAGCGGATACCAGTTGCCTTATCAACGGCATCCGCTACGCCAACGGAGAAAAAACGCCTGATGCCTGTGACAGGTGTACGTGCGTTGATGGGTTCAACAGATGCAAACAGAAGATTTGTCTCAAGGGGGTTTATTAGGCTAATTAAGCCTTCATTGGCATAACCCTAACCCTTAGGCTAATTACGCCTCAATTATATTCTCGGAATAACTATTACATACAAGGCTAAAATATATATAAAAAAGAATGTTTTGTATTGCTATTAAAATTGCCTTTTTAAGAAAAAAAAAAGAATAATAAAGCAGAACTGAACTCCCCTAAATTCTGTCTGTGTTTGTAGATTAATTAGATGAATAAGGGTTGAGATGACTTTTTCTGTGAAAATAGGGCTCTAAAAACGGTAGGTTAGTTTTTGACAAAAGCACTGGTTTTTTTTTTTTGGAAAACACATAGAGGCGAAAGGTTACAAAAATATGCTGAGAGATAACACACAAACAATCAATGGCGCTTTTGCCTATAGATCCTGGCTTTATTGCATATACGGTAAATCCGTATACGTCAAATCCATATACAGTATGTGTACAGTAATGTACAATATATGGCCGTATAACAAATATAAAGAACCACATGTTACATTTCTAAATATACCACCACGTGTAGCCTATAACATAAATACACGGGTGTCATAAAAATAGAAGGTTACGGCCAGTATACAATACTGCCAACAAGTATTATTTTTTTAATACTTCACCTAACTAGTCCGCAACGTACAGCACTAGTAGGAATAATACCCAACAAGTAGTATAAATAAAATACTTCACATACCTAGTCCACAAAATGCGGCACTAGTATTATAATAAAACAAGTAATAGAAATAGATAATGTACAATACCTTCATTAGATCGACATAACCAAGTCATTTACAGCCTGGGATTTGAATGCTGCGGACACAGGTACAACTACCTGGAGTCCCAGAGGTCACATGCAGTGGCGGAACTAGAAAAAAAGGGCTCCCCCGCAAAGAAAATATGAGGGCCCCCTATATATATATAATATATATATATATATATATATATATATATATATATATATATATATATATATATATATATATATATATATATATATATATATGTTACGGTCAAAGCCCGAAGTCGGCCAATGCGCGGATTGGCCGACCAATCCGCGCATTGGCCAATATCGCCTCCCATAGATCGGTCAAAGTCCGAAACGTTGCTTGATTTCGGCCTTTGGCCGGCCAGTCCGCGGACTGGCCATGGTAGACCGGCCAAAGTCTTAATTAGAAGATCATCTGGCTAGGGACGACCGGCCAAATTCCGAATTAGAAAATCATGAGCAGAGTTTGGGTTTTTTAATGCCGTAAGGATCCTGAAATTAAGTCTTTATTGATTATTAATTAAAGTAAATGACAGAAACATTCAATTTTTTTATTGCACTATAGTCTCAATCAATCAATATTATCATTTGTTACAACAAGTTGAACTTTTATGGCATTTAGAATTACATAGCAGCTTGTTATTTTTACACTTGCAGCGATTTGTTGTGCACTTAGTTGTGCAATTGCAGTGAGTGTAGCCTTGGCCCCCAGTCAATGATTGTGAAGATGCGATGAAGATGCGATGGTTCGTAGTGATTTTTCCTCAGTGCCAACTGACGACAACAAGAGCAGTTTTTCGTGAAGAATTGAAAACTCACTTCTAGCATACAGTTGTTTTAGAACACCATGTTCCGTTCCTAATTTGTAGAAACCGCCCTCGACGCTCATGACTACTGTAATCACTCTTCGGGAATCACCGCGACCTCTGTCAACATCTGGAACACGGATGCGTACATTGTCACCCATTTCACCATCTTTAAATTTTGTATTTGATGTTTTAAGCATCTTAGCACCTTGATTTTGCAAGCCAGTATGAGCTGCTGACCTGTGTTCCATGATGTTTTTTTTGTTGTGGCACAATCTGCAGGTAATGTTCCCTCCGTACCCTTCGTCTGCTTCATTGGGTACTCCACAACTAGCATGGACATCTTTGCCACAGGATCCACAAGAATGAGCTGCACTACAATGTTTTTCACAAACTATACATAATCTGTTGGCCACAGTATTGTCACGCAACTAGTCTGGACGTTCCGCCACGGCAGCAGATGTGTTAGCTGAGGATGTAGTTGCATTTATGGCAACCTCCATTTCTTGTTCAATGTTCTCAAGATCTTCCTCAGTAACTATTTTATTGAGAGCCTCTCTTGGTAGATTTGAAGTGCTAAGTCCCACTTTTGCTTTGCATCCAAACAAGGCTTCGTATGGTGATTGTTGGATTCCTTGATGAAAAGAGCGATTTTTCATAAATTGAATGAATTTGAGACTCTCAGCCCAATGAGCTGATTCATTTGTTTGCATCCATGGCATCATCATGTTTTGAACATCTTGGTTGGCACGTTCGACTGAAACTTGGCTTTGGCTATGCCTTGGTTTTCCGTGAACTAGTTTAAGTTCAGACCACATGTTCTTTAGTTCAGAAATAACTTGATTCACAAACAAGTGCTAAACAATACGTTACTCACAATGAAACCGCACCCTGAATACTGAAAACGCGATCACAACTTAGTATAGATAGAACATTGGCCAGGACATCCTGGCCAATGCGCGCATTGGCCGGCCAATGTACAAAATACGCTGTCAAGTTTAAGCACTTCGGACTTTGGCCAGTACGTCCCGGCCAGTGCGCGCATTGGCCGGCCAATCTACGAAATACGATCTTAGTTCTAAGCTCTTCGGGCTTTGGCCAAGAGAGCCGGCCAATCCGCGCATTGGCCGGCCAATCCGGGGTTTGGCCGCACTTCGGGCTTTGACCGTAACATATATATATATATATATATATATATATATATATATATATATATATATATATATATATATATATATATATATATGTTACGGTCAAAGCCCGAAGTCGGCCAATGCTAGGTTTGGCCGGCCAATCCGCGCATTGGCCAATATCGCCTCCCATAGGTCGGTCAAAGTCCGAAACTTTGATTGATTTCGGCCATTGGCCGGCCAATCCGCAGACTGGCCATGGTGGACCGGCCAAAGTCTGAAATTGCTCTTGATTTCGGCCTTTGGCCGGCCAGTCTGCGGACTGGCCATGGTGGACCGGCCAAAGTCTTAATTAGAAGATCATCTGGCTAGGGACGACCGGCCAAAGTCCGAATTAGAAGATCATGAGCAGATTTTGTTTTTTTTTAATGCCGTAATGATCATGAAATTAAGTCTTTATTGATTATTAATTAAAGTAAATGACAGAAACATTCAAATTTTTTATAGTACTATATAGCTGCTTGTTATTTTTACACTTGCAGCGATTTGTTGTGCAATTGCAGCGAGTGTAGCCTTGGCCCCCAGTCAATGATTGTGAAGATGCGATGGTTCGTAGTGAATTTTCCTCAGTGCCAACTGACGACAATAAGAGCAGTTTTTCGTGAAGAATTGAAAACTCACTTCTAGCATACAGTTGTTTTAGAACACCATATTCCGTTCCTAATTTGTAGAAACCGCCCTCGACAACTGCAATCACGCTTCGGGGATCGCCGTGACCTCTGTCAACATCTGGAAAACGGATGCGTACATTGTCACCCACTTCACCATCTTTAAATTTTGGTTTTTTGATGTTTAAAGCATCTTAGCACCTTGAGTTTGCAAGCCAGTATGAGCTGCTGATATGTGTTCCATGATGTCTTGTTTGTTGTGACACAATCTGCAGGTAATGTTCCCTCCGTACCCTTCGTCTGCTTCATTGGGTATTCCACGAATAGCATGGACATCGTTGCCACAGGATCCACAAGAATGGGCTGCACTACAATGTTTTTCACAAACTATACAGAATCTGTTGGCCACATTATTGTCACGCAACTGGTCTGGGCTTTCCGCCACGGCAGCAGATGTGTTAGCTGAGGATGTCGTTGCATTTATGGCAACCTCCATTTCTTGTTCAATGTTCTCAAGATCTTCCACAGTAACTATTTTATCGAGAGCCCATATATGGAAACTAACATGGATTTACATTTTTTTTCTTTTGACAGCCATCTGCTATGTCTGTCTCATGGTCTGCCGGCCCTTTTGATCCATGTCGCCTTGCATATAGAATGCTATACAAACAAGAGCTAAACAATATGTCACTCTCAATGAAAATGCACCCAGAATAATGAAAATGCGATCACAACTTAGTCTAGATAGAACATTGGCCAGGACATCCCGGCCAGTGCGCGCATTGGCCGGCCAATGTACAAAATACGCTGTCATGTTTTAGCGCTTCGGACTTTGGCCAGTACGTCCTGGTCAGTGCGCGCATTGGCCGGCCAATGTATGAAATACGATCTTAGTGCTAAGTTCTTCGGGCTTTGGCCAAGAGAGCCGGCCAATGCGCGGATTGGCCGGCCAATCCGCGCTTTGGCCGCACTTCGGGCTTTGACCGTAACATATATATATATATATATATATATATATATATAGGCCTATATATATATATATATATATATATATATATATATATATATATATATATATATATATATATATATATATATATATATATATATATATATATATATACTTCGGGCTTTGACCGTAACATATATATATATATATATATATATATATATATATATATATATATATACATATATATATATATATATATATATATATATATATATATATATATATATATATATATATATATATATATATATATTATATATATATATATATATATATATAATCTATATCCTAACAGAGTAATTAGGTCTACTTCATTGCAATAAATAACCATTCTGAGAGAACAAACCAGACAAATTTAGTCCAAACTCATCATGGATTAGCATCATACGACGGACCATTCCAAAAAAGCTGCTCAAAAATATATAAAGACGTAAGCTTGATTCGTGAATGGTTCCTCGCGTTATGTTTATTTTTTTCATTTTTGGCTTTTATAATATCAATTTTGAAAAAAATGATTTTTATAACTATACCATTGTTTATTACGTTTTATTTAAATAACAATTCAGAGAATCAATTGCTTTTTAATATAAATAGTACAAAACTATTTAAATTAGCTTTGTGGGCATACCTATTTTAAAGAAGGGCAGTAAGTCATGGAAGTAGTGTGAATGTTTGCCTACCTTTCAAACTATAGCTCTTGTAAATTTTAAAATATTTTTCTACGCAACAATCTCTGCTATAGTAGACCTGTTTTTTTTTTTTTTACAAAACCACTTTCAAGATGCATGAAAAACAT